CCCCCCCCCCCTTTTGTGATTTGGAGAGATAAGTTTCTTAATAATAGAATATAAACTATTTTAGAATTTTCTAAGATTTTAAAAATTTTTACACAAAAAACCAAATTCAAACGGGGTTGTAAACCAAATTTTATCCCATATAGGATTGCCGAATGCTATTATAATAATACAAAAAAAAACATGAATGCCAAAATATCAAAAATGATCCTGTATAATTGGATTAAAATGTAAATGCAATGATGCAAATTTGAGTTCAATAAAATCAAATATTTAAAAATATGTTAAATACCTTAATTATAAGTTGAAGCAGTCTATCATTAGTGGCAACCAAAGAACTGGAAAAGGATTCGAGCTTTTCTCCTAAAAATAGACTGAATTTAAAGAAAAAAGTTTCGGAACGAAAAAATGGTCAGCGAGAAACCAGAAAAAAATGATAAAATTGAATAACTAGGGAAAAATGGCAACTTGAGAAGCAACCTATGAGTTGATATCTAACATTACTTTGTTTAATATTTTGACCATTTTTCGAGGTCATTATCAAAGGGAGGTCAAAATGGAGGTAAGATATATGCGTACATATCAGTGCGTATAATAATCGAATTAAGGTTAAAACAAATTTATATTTTCCCGTATTCATTGAGGTCAAAATAAAGGTCAATGACCTCCGATCTCAAATTTTCTTTGTGATCTTTGTAGATGTCCACAATTAAAGGCTATATGCAAAATTTCAGCCTTCTATCTCTTATTTTTAGGGCCAAACCCACCCTGTACAAAATTTGGTGTCACAATATGTCGAATTGCCCCCCCCCCACCAAAAAAAAACATAATTCAGTACACTAATAAGTTCAATTTTTTTCAATTCATTAAAATTTCATCTGTATTCTGTGTTCTTTATTTATTTATTTATTTATTTTTAAACATAAATACATAATACTGCCGAATGGTTTAGCAAAAAATTTTAATTTAAAATAAGTAAATTGAAAATACAATTTGATTAATTTAGTAAAAATTTGAATTGTTTTCAGTTTTTAAGAAACAGTTACAACTGAAAATACATTCATTGTGCTGAAACATTATAATTAGAGATTGTATTTTTATGTTCTAAGTTTAGTAATAAAAATTATAATTTACTTTTTTGTTAACAATTCTTTTCTTATTTTGAAAAGATTTTTGTAAGAAATATTATAAAATTGTACAAAATTATTTTAGTAGTATTACAGCATTCAAATTTTTCCCAAATTGGGATTTTTGGGGCCCGGAACCCTCCACCCCGAAAACCACAAGTGGGAAACAGCACCCCTACATTTATTTTTGATATTTTCATAGTAATTGGTATTAAAAATATTCCGTAACTTTGAATGAGAACATAATTATGAATATAATATAAGGGATTGTTAGCTGAATATTCATCCTAGAATATAGGTATAATATAAGGGATTGTTAACTGAATATTCATCCTACAAAATAGGTATAATATAATTGATTTTTAGCTGAATATTCATCCTAGAATATAGGATATAATATAGGGGATTGTTAGCTAAATATTCATCCTAGAATATAGGTTTAATATAAGGGATTGTTAGCTGAATATTCACCCTAGAATATAGGTTTAATATAAGGGATTGTTAGCTGAATATTCATCCTACAAAATAGGTATAATATAATTGATTGTTATCTGAATATTCATCCTAGAATATAGGATATAATATAAGGGATTGTTAGCTGAAAATTCATCCTAGAATATAGGTATAATATAAGGGATTGTTAGCTGGATATTCATTCTAGAATATAGGATATAATATAAGGGATTGTTAGCTGAATATTCATCCTAGCATATAGGAATAATATAAGGGATTGTTAGCTAAATATTTATCCTAGAATATAGGTATAATATAAGGGATTATTCGCTGAATATTCATCCTAGAATATAGGTATAATAAAAGGGATTGTTAGCTGAATATTCATCCTAGAATATAGATATAATATAAGGGATTGTTAGATGAATATTCATCCTAGAATATAGGTTTATTATAAGGGATAGTTAACTGAATATTCATCCTAGAATATAGGTATAATATAAGGGATTGTTAGCTGAATATTTACCCTAGAATATAGGTATAATATAAGGGATTGTTAGCTGAATATTCATCCTGAATATAGGTATAATATAAGGGATTGTTAGCGGAATATTCATCCTAGAATATAGGTTTAATATAAGGAATTGTTAGCTGAATATTTATCATAGAATATAGGTTTTATATAAGGCATTGTTAGCTGAATATTCATCATAGAATATAGGTATAATATAATTGATTGTTAGCTGAATATTCATCCTATGAAATAGGTACAATATAAGGGATTGTTAGCTAAATATTCATCCTAGAATATGGGTTTAATATAAGGAATTGTTAGCTGAATATTTACCCTAGAATATAGGTATAATGTAAGGCATTGTTATCTGAATATTCATCCTAGAATATAGGTTTTATATAAGGCATTGTTAGCTGAATATTCATACTACAAAATAGGTATAATATAAGGCATTGCTAGCTAAGTATTCATCCTAGAATATAGGTATAATATAAGGGATTGTTAGCTGAATATTCATCCTAGAATATAGGTATAATATAAGGGATAGTTTGCTGAATATTCATCCTAGAATAGGTTAAATATAAGGGATTGTTAGCTGAATATTCATCCTAGAATATAGGATATAATATAAGGGATTGTTAGCTGAATATTCATCCTAGAATATAGGTATAATATAAGGGATTGTTAGCTGAATATTCATCCTAGAAAATAGGTATAATATAAGGGATTGTTAGCTGAATATTCATCCTAGAATATGGGTTAAATATAAGGGATTGTTAGCTGAATATTCATCCTAGAATATAGGTATAATATAAGGGATTGTTAGCTGTATATTCATCCTGAATATAGGTATAATATAAGGGATTGTTAGCTTAATATTCATCCTAAAATATGGGTTAAATAAAAGGGATTGTTAGCTGAATATTCATCCTAGAATATAGGATATAATATAAGGGATTGTTAGCTGATTATTCATCCTAGAATATAGGTATAATATAATTGATTGTTAGCTGAATATTCATACTAGAATACAGGTATAATATAATTGATTGTTAGCTGAATATTCATCCTAGAATATAGGATATAATATAAGGGATTGTTAGCTAAATATTCATCCTAGAATATAGGATATAATATAAGGGATTGTTAGATGAATATTCATCCTAGAATATAGGTATAAAATAAGGAATTGTTAGCTGAATATTCATCCTAGAATATAGGTATAATATAATTGATTGTTAGCTGAATATTAATCCTAGAATATAGGTATAATATAAGGGATTGTTAGCTGAATATTTATCCTAGAATATAGGATATAATATAAGGGATAGTTAACTGAATATTCATCCTAGAATATAGGTATAATATAAGGGATTGTTAACTGAATATTCATCCTAGAATATAGGTATAATATAAGGGATTGTTAACTGAATATTCATCCTAGAATATAGGTATAATATAAGGGATTATTAGCTGAATATTCATCCTAGAATATAGGTATAATTTAAGGGATTGTTAGCTGAATATTCATCCTAGAATATAGGATATAATATAAGGGATTGTTAGCTGAATATTCATCCTACAAAATAGGTATAATATAATTGATTGTTATCTGAATATTCATCCTAGAATATAGGATATAATATAAGGGATTGTTAGCTGAAAATTCATCCTAGAATATAGGTATAATATAAGGGATTGTTAGCTGGATATTCATTCTAGAATATAGGATATAATATAAGGGATTGTTAGCTGAATATTCATCCTAGCATATAGGAATAATATAAGGGATTGTTAGCTAAATATTTATCCTAGAATATAGGTATAATATAAGGGATTATTAGCTGAATATTCATCCTAGAATATAGGTATAATTTAAGGGATTCTGAATATTCATCCTAGAATATAGGTATAATATAAGGGATAGTTTGCTGAATATTCATCCTAGAATATAGGTATAATATAAGGGATTATTAGCTGAATATTCATCCTAGAATATAGGTTTAATGTAAGGGATTGTTAGCTGAATATTTACCCTAGAATATAGGTTTAATATAAGGGATTGTTAGCTGAATATTCATCCTACAAAATAGGTTTAATATAAGGAATTGTAAGCTGAATATTTAACCTAGAAAATAGGTTTAATATAAGGGATTGTTAGCTGAATATTTACCCTAGAATATAGGTTTAATATAAAGGATTGTTAGCTGAATATTCATCCTACAAAATAGGTATGATATTAGGGATTGTTAGCTAAATATTCATCCTAGAATATAGGTATAATATAAGGGATTGTTAGCTGAATATTCATCCTACAAAATAGGTATAATATAAGGGATTGTTAGCTAAATATTCATCCTGAATATAGGTATAATATAAGGGATTGTTAGCTGAATATTCATCATAGAATATAGGTATAATATAAGGGATTGTTAGCTGAATATTCATCCTAGAATATAGATATAATATAAGGGATTGTTAGCTGAATATTCATCCTAGAATATAGGTATAATATAAGGGATTATTAGCTGAATTTATATTCATCCTAGAATAGGTTAAATGAAATGGATTGTTAGCTGTAAAGAAATTTTTCAGGACTTATTTGAGACCTATAAGACGTTATTACGGTGTATAAATGTTCAGCAAGAGCGCAAATTCAATCTAATGTTTTTTTTTATTATTCAATAAAGACGAGGAAAAATGTTACATAAATTCTCCAGTAAAAAAAATAGTTGGTTAGGAACAGGCTGAGAAAACAAAACTAAACTCTTATCGAAAACAAGTATTTTAATTAAAAGACGACATTTGAATAATTTGAAGAAATCTACGAGCAAATTTAAAGAATAACAGAGATGGAATTTAAAGAATTTGAACCGCGGTTTAAATCTTCCAAAACCCGGTTTAAATTAAGCGCCGGTTTAAATCTTGAAACATTTGACACAATTTTAAGTGGAACCAACCATATTTAAGCCGCGGCTTAAATTTAAACCGCCGCTCAAATTCTTTAAATTCGGCCACAGATTGGATATAATTTTTCAACAAATTTCTATATGAGAAATATGTTCCTGAACAATTTTGTAACATTTTTTATTCATTTATTTTTCTTTTTTTATCATATTTTTATATAAAAAATTACCTTGGAAGGACAAAGAGGTTGAATAAGGTTGAGAAGCTGAACCACCTCGTTCACAGCAGTATCAGGGGTTGCCAGGGATACTTCACTCTATACCAACTATATTCTAAACCTGAGGACGAATTTATTGAATTTGAACTGCGTCGCTGGCACTGGCTCAAATTACTGGCTCAACTGTTTAAAATTACAAGTTGAACCAACCATGTTTGAACATTCAAAATCTTTAAATTCGGCCCCTGGGAACATGGAAACCAAACCAAAGGAATTGAGTTTTTGCCAAAAACTCAAATTTTCTAATCCATATATCTGTGCAACCTGATGGTGTAAACCATCATTGATATTTCAAACTTAGATTATTTGATCTTACATATTCATAGTTTGAAATATATAAGATCTACGACATTGGGTTAAAAAGATGTACGGATTAAAATCTCCGTTTGTGGCAAAGACTCAAGGGTCACTGTTGGGTCTCAAATGCATCTTGAATGGTCTCGAATGGGTCTCCGATCAGAATTAATTTTGGTATGAATTTCCTTGATGCAGAGCAATTCTAGATATTTATGCTTGAAAATGATGAACTGGAAGAGGTCAATATTAAAGGTCGGAAGCTGGGTCAGAGGCTGAATAAACTCGAGGCTGTCCTCCCACTAAAAATAAAAATTAAGGTTTACAGGGTCTCACACTCAATGTCAACTAGAGGTCCTGGTCAAAAATCTAGTAAGACCAGTTTTAACCCATTTAATGAATATTTTTCGAATTTTCTATTTCAGACGCATTTTAAATATTGAAGTAAGTATCTAAACTCTTTTACGATATACTATTGTTCACGGATTTTTAATAGGGTTTCCAGCGAACGAAAAGTTTCGCAAAAAATGCGAAAATTTTCGGTCGCACTTCGCAAACTTTTTTGCGAAATTTCGCATTTTTATCGCGAAAATATTTTGGCATTTTTTATAGCTGCAACAATTAATTGCTTAAAAGAACTTGTGGAATTATCTGCTTTGATAGCTCAATATTTGAAGTTTTATTATGTCATATAAATAATTTCTCTTTCTTTACTTTAGTAAATGTTTGATGAAGAGAATTTGATTTCACTAGCTATCTTTTAAAGTTTCTGTCTTCGCATTTTCGCATTATTTTTTTCGCGAAATTTTCGCAATATTTTATTGCGAAATTTTTGCATTTTTTCGCGAAACAGATTGAAGCGAAATTTTTGCGAAAATTTTAGCATTTTTTGCGAGCAAACGAAATGCGAAAATTTCGCGAAAAATGCAAAATTTTTGCGAAATGATTTTTCCTTTTCGCTGGAAACCCTAATTTTGAATGAAATATGAAAATGACTGAAAATATTCCCATATAGACAGGATGCACCTCGCTGCTGTAAACATAATCTTAATTGACCCTCCAATCAAAGTTGGCAATGCTGAATTTACAACGGTACCTTCTCAAGATTTGCATGGTCTAGTCTGATAACAATATATATAATTTTGAAAACGGATTATTTTCAATTGTGGTTTCTCGGCAAAAGTGACTTGCTCATATTCTACAGCAGGAAAAATTGTTCGAAACACTTTCAAAACTAGAAAAACGACAATATCTTCCACATAATTAATCAAATAAAGGTTTCAAGAGTGTCGTTGTGAATCGGGCATTGTCGTCTTTAAGTGCAGTGTCACATGAAATTAGGCGTACATTCCCTTTAAGTCAATTTGTTTCTAATTATTGATCGATAGCTTTCTCTTGAAAAAATAATTTGAATATATTAAATAATTGAATTAGAACTACAAATTTTCAAAAACAAAAACATAGATTTCTGAATCTAGTTCCATGGTTGGTTGCTTTTAATTACGTTTACAATTCCTTTATGTTATTGCTATTAATTATTTATTCACAAATATGCCTTTTCACTTTTTCTGAAAAAAATGCAGAACGGGTGTGGATTTTTTACTAAATATTGCAGAAATAATTTGGAAAGTGGAAACTAACGTTCTACGTGCGCAAACAAAAACAAAAAAAGGTTTAGAAGTAAAACAAAAAATTAATTTTAAAATACGGATGTGGATTTTTTTACAAAAAAAATAAAAAGAAAGCATTTGGACAGTGGAAACTATGATAAGATAAGATAAGTTATAGTTTATTGCTAATAATACACATACAAGTTATAATGACTTACAGGCAAAAAATCTGCAACTATTTTTATATTTTTTACTATGTTTATGTAATTATAGCAATTAGGTGGAGATTAGCTATTTTCTGATTTGGGTATTATCCCCACCTAATCAATCTTAAAACGTTTACAATATAATGAATATTACTAGGTTTTGAAAGTTTACAGTAAGTCAGGGATTTCTAGTTAAATTCAGAGAGACCGAGGTGCAGCATAACAAAATAATTGATTTTTCAGTTTTAAGTTTAGTACGTATAACAGAATAAGATTAAGCATCTAACCATCTACGTGCGCAGACAAAAACGGTAAAAGGTTTCAAAGGAAAAAATTAATAATCAAATACAAAATAATAAAAATTCTCCATTATTACTTTTTTGATTCCATTGCAAGAATTCTTTGTACTTGAAAGCATTAATAAAGTTCATACTAATGAAACCGCTTTGAAAAAACATGGCCGACTGTAATCCGAATTTATCCTGAACCCTTATTCCGTTTTTTTTTAAGTGACTCTAAAATAAAAATAAAAGGGGGTATGGGCTCTTGATTGCGACCCATGAAAGTTATATCTGATGTTTCTGTCGCTGGAAATTGATGTAAAACTGTGTCAAATTTATACGAAAATTCATATATATACAATTTTGTATAGAAATAGTAGGTTTTAACAGATCATATTCAGCAATTACCTCCTTTCATTTTTCTTTTACAATCCCTTTAAATAAATATGTGTTTGTAGAAATGAGTAAAATTTTTTTTTCCAAAAGAAACTATAAGAATAAAACGAAGAAAAGAAACTGTCTGGTTTGTTTTTTCACATATCTTTGCTCATGGGTTAAAATTTGGTGAAGTAAAAGGGAAACCAATCTTAATATAGAACAATCAGTTTTTAAAATTTGAGTTATATAGAACCAATATGAGTATGACTCAGGTTAGAGGATTATCTGTAAATGTAATAACATAGATTGTTAACAATAATACAGAAGCTGATAAACAAACTATATCAGCTGATATCAAATACGAAGGATTAAAGATGAATAATGAACAATGAACAATGAACAAACAGGTTATCCAAAATGGATGAGAATTTAATGATGATCAAAAAACTGTTCAATTCTGAAGATCTTAAGGTTATTTTTATCTTTAGTTTTCAATTTGCTAAATGATTTGGCAACGAATGCTAACAAACAAAAGCTAAAAAAGTTTAAGAGACTAATAAGATTCTGTATAGTCGTCTATAAAAGTTCATCCTTTAAGGGTAATCCTGTGTGTTTATCGTTTATTACAACCTTAGTAGAGGATGTTTTGATCAAATTATGAATATCACTGACCAAGAAAACGAAACAAATGTGCGAAAACACAGATGCTTTGCATATTTCTTAACACAAGTAGTTAATAAGTGTAACTGACGCATATTTTAAAAGAAAACCCACGGACTGAAACTAATTTCCGTGCGTAACTACGCACAGCTGATTAATTAAGCGGTAATGTGTGCCCTTGAGGAGTCACGGTATAAAATATGTAAAAGGATTTTACGCTTTAAATTCTCGGCATTTTTTCCATCATTTAACCTTAACAAGATATACTTACATACCGACATAATTACATACAGATATAACATACAGATATACTAACATACAAAAATACTTACATACATTTATACTTACACACAGATATACTTACATACAGATATACTTACATACAGATATACTTACATACAGATATACTNTGTTTAGTGAAAACGATGTGTATCCCCCTATACACCCCTGGCTAAAGTTTCTTGCCATTTTCTCTCTCTCACCCTGTAAAAATTGAATTCAAGAACCAAGAAGTTGTCCCATATCTGTACACTGGTTCCATCCAAAGCTTGGGCTATGGGGGGTACACTCACCGATTTTTTTCAAAACATGTGTCAAAACATGTTTTCTGAGACAAAAATTATGCAAAGTAGATTAAATCCATCTCTTTCATGCACAGTGCATAGTTAACAATGTCTTTTGTCAATTAAATCTAATATTCTTTAAATATGAAAAGGGGGTTGGATTTTAATCAGATCTTTTCTTTCGAAAATTCTTAAGAAATCATATATTGAAAAGCTGATCAAAAGCTTTTTTAATTATCTCTCCTTTATTCCCCTTTATTAAATTATGAATAGAAAAAAAAATAATTGATTCGTTAAATTGCATGATATTCAATTTAATATATAAAGAAATAAGCATTTACCCCCCCCCCCCCTCCACCCCGATCTAGTTATGATCTATTTCTTTGGTTTAAAAGATTTTAAAAAGTTCAATTTAAAAAATGAAAAAGATCTCTCAGTCATCAAATCAAAAACAAACTTGGATCAATTCAAAAAAACAAAAAACATCATCTATGTAAAAAGTATAGGCTAGAGTCCAATCTAAAACCAGCTCTTTACAAAGGAATTTCATTTACTCCCATTCCTTGGGTTTATCATTGAATAAAAAACAAATTTTCAACAATTTTTACAGTTTATAATTTTGATTTTTTTTCAGTCAATATCAATTTAAAAACTTAATTTTGGTTAGAAAATGTCGCAAAAGTTTCCTCTTATACGTTTCTGAACATTCTGGTATTTCGTTAAAATAATAAATATTGCTAGGGAGTTGAGTCTTTGCCACAAACTCTGATTTTCTCATTTCTATTTCTTTGCAGCACGATGTCGTAGACCTTTGATATTTCAAACTATGAATTCTGTTAGATCAAAAAAGTCTGAAATAGCATAGGTTTATACCATCACGTTGCAAAGATATAGGGGTTAGATAATTTGAGTTTGTGGCAAAAACTCAGTTCTTTTGTCTCAAAAATTCAATTGGAGCTAATCTATAAACATTAAAAAAATGCGCAAAACTTAGATATTTATCATGTAGATATTATATTAGTAAATAAGAACCCAAGAATATAGCTAAAAAACATTGGAAGATATTTATCATGTAGATATTATATTAGTAAATAAGAACCCAAGAATATAGCTAAAAAACATTGGAATATATTTATCATGTAGATATTATATTAGTAAATAAGAACCCAAGAATATAGCTAAAAAACATTGGAAGATATTTATCATGTAGATATTATATTAGTAAATATGAACCCAAGAATATAGCTTTATAACATTGGAGGATATTTATCCAAAAATATACATTATATAAAGTAGCAATCTTTGTTTGTCTGTTTAGATGTTTGAATGTCCGATCATAACTCTGGAACCCCTTTCCCGATTGGCCTTAAAATTTGAATAGGGAACTCGGTAACACCACGGGAATGTTCTTAGCTTGTTTTATAATTTATAAGTTGAGTGGGTTGAATTTTCTAGGAAAAACTTTAGGCAAACCTTGACCGATTTGTCTCAAACCTAGCTTGGTCTCAATATACATAGTTAATTGGGTATAATTGGTACTGTCTCCCAGTTTTGCACGCCATCTTTTTCCTTAAGATTTATACAATCAGTTTGAATGGTAAGAAAGATGGAAGTTTTGGTGTAAAGAGCTAGGGTTAGTGAAGGGGGTTGTGACTTAGGGAATTGATTGCAAGAAAAGGCTGTGTACCCCCATTAGTATATAAATACTTAAATGGTTTTTTGAGGGATAATGTATTTACTGGAAAATACCATGAAATAAAAAGAATTCTACCCCGAGAAATAAATACCCGAAAACATGTAAATAAACTAAATAAAAAAAGTCTAAAAATTAAAATGGGATATTTAATAAATTGGCGAGTTCTTACCTGTCCATCCAATATCAATTGTCTCAAGAAAATAACATCATCAGATAAATCTCCATTTATTACTCCACTTTCCCTGCACCAACAATTATTAAAAACCCTATTCTGCCATGCTAAAAAATCTATTTAAAAAGTTGATAAATATTTGAGTCTTATTGAAAGAAATTTGGAACGAATTTTAATTTTTTAATCCCAATATCTTTGCAAATTAATGTTGTAGACTTCATGTTGGGTCAAATAATCTAAGTTTGAAATGTCAAGAGTTTACACCGTCAGGTTGTATGGATATGGGGATTAGAAAATTTGAGTTTGTTTAGTGAAAACGATGTGTATACTGTATACAACAATTTTATTTTTTCAAATATATTTTTAACCAACAATGGTGATAAGAGAACACGTTAAGTAAAACTAAATAAATGGTTTAACTTTAAGAAATCAGAGAAGTCAAAGGGACTATTCTTGTAATTTCAAGCGACCTTCCTCTAACAAGGGACAATGCTAGATTCACAACTTTGCAGTTTAACACTTTGTTGATCAGACAAAGTTTTAAAGAGTAAGGTTGTGTTTGATCATGACACTCTTATAGATGGAGAGTCCCTTTAATTTCCTCTAAAGTCCCTTTCATTTCGTCTAAAGTCCCTTTCATTTCGTCTATAGTCCCTTTAGTTTCATCTAGAGTCCCTTTAATATCGTCTAGAGTCCCTTTAATTTCGTCTAGAGTCCATTTAGTTTCGTCTAGAGTCCCTTTAATTTCGTCTAGAGTCCCTTTAGTTTCGTCTAAAGTCCCTTTAGTTTCGTCTAGAGTCCATTTAATTTCGTCTAAAGTCCCTTTAATTTCGTCTAGAGTCCCTTTAATTTCGTCTACAGTCCCTTTAGATTCGTCTAGAGTCCATTTAGTTTCGTCAGAGTCCCTTTAGATTCGTCTAGAGTCTCTTCAGTTTCGTCTAGAGTCTCTTTAGTTTCGTCTAAAGTCCCTTTAGTATCGTCTAGAGTCCACTTAGTTTCGTCTAGAGTCCCTTTAGTTTCGTCTAGAGTCCCTTTAGATTCGTCTAGAGTCCCTTTAGTTTCGTCTAGAGTCCCTTTGGTTTCGTCTAGAGTCCCATTAATTTTGTCTAGAGTCACTTTAACTTCGTCTAGAGTCCCTTTAGTTTCGTCTAGAGTCCCTTTAATTTCGTCTACAGTCCATTTAGTTTCGTCTACAGTCCATTTAGTTTCGTGTAGAGTCTCTTTAATTTAGTCTAGAGTCCCTTTAATTTCGTCTAGAGTCCCTTTAGTTTCGTCTAAAGTCCCTTTAATTTCGTCTAGAGTCCCTTTGGTTTCGTCTAAAATCACTTTAATTTCGTCTAAAGTCCCTTTAATTTCGTCTAGAGTCCCTTAAGTTTCGTCTAGAGTCTCTTTAATTTCGTCTAGAGTCCCTTTAATTTCGTCTACAGTCCCTTTAGATTCGTCTAGAGTCCATTTAGTTTAGTCTAGAGTCCCTTTAGATTCGTCTAGAGTCTCTTTAGTTTCGTCTAGAGTCCCTTTAGTTTCGTCTAGAGTCTCTTTAGTTTCGTCTAAAGTCCCTTTAGTATCGTCTAGAGTCCACTTAGTTTCGTCTAGAGTCCCTTTAGTTTCGTCTATAGTCCCTTTAGATTCGTCTAGAGTCCCTTTAGTTTCGTCTAAAGTCCCTTTAATTTCGTCTAGAGTCCCTTTAGTTTCGTCTAAAGTCCCTTTAATTTCGTCTAGAGTCCCTTTAATTTCGTCTAAAATCCCTTTAATTTCGTCTAGAGTCCCTTTAATTTCGTCTAGAGTCCCTTTAGTTTCGCCTAAAGTCCCTTTAATTTCGTCTAGAGTCCCTTTAATTTCTTCTACAGTCCCTTTAGATTCGTAAAGAGTCCATTTAGTTTCGTCTAGATTTCCTTCAGTTTCGTCTGTAGTCTCTTTAGTTTCGTTTAGAGTCCCTTTAGTTTCGTCTAGAGTCTCTTTAGTTTCGTCTATAGTCCATTTAGTTTCGTCTAGAGTCCCTTTAGTTTCGTCTAGAGTCCCTTTAGTTTCGTCTAGAGTCCCTTTAGATTCGTCTAGAGTCTCTTTAGTTTCGTCTATAGTCCATTTAGTTTCGTCTAGAGTCTCTTTAGTTTCGTCTAGAGTCCCTTTAATTTAGTCTAGAGTCCCTTTAGATTTGTCTAGAGTCCTTTTAGTTTCGTCTATAGTCCTTTTAGTTTCGTCTAGAGTCCCTTTAATTTAGTCTTGAGTCCCTTTAGTTTCGTCTAGAGTCCCTTTAGTTTCGTCTAGAGTCCATTTAGTTTCGTCTAGAGTCCATTTAGTTTCGTCTAAAGTCCCTTTAGTTTAGTCTAGGGTCCCTTTAATTTAGTCTAGAGTTCCTTTAATTTAGTCTAGAGTCCATTTAGTTTCGTCTAGAGTCCATTTAGTTTCGTCAGAGTCCATTTAGTTTCGTCTAGAGTCCCTTTAGTTTAGTCTAGAGTCCCTTTAATTTAGTCTAGAGTCCCTTTAATTTAGTCTAGAGTCCCTTTAGTTTAGTCTAGAGTCCATTTAGTTTCGTCTAGAGTCCCTTTAATTTAGTCTATAGTCCCTTTAGTTTAGTCTTGAGTCCCTTTAGTTTTGTCTAAAGTACATTTAGTTTCGTCTAGAGTCCCTTTTATTTAGTCTAGTGTCCCTTTAATTTAGTCTAGAGTTCCTTTAATTTAGTCTAGAGTCCATTTAGTTTCGTCTAGAGTCCATTTAGTTTCGTCTAGAGTCCATTTAGTTTCGTCTAGAGTCCATTTAGTTTCGTCTGGAGTCCCTTTAATTTAGTCTAGAGTCCATTTAGTTTCGTCTAGAGTCTAGGAATTGAGTCTTCGCCACAAACTCTGATTTTCTGAGACATATATCTTTGCAACCAGATGGTGTAAAGACTTTGATATTTCAAACTTAGATTATTTGACCTAACAGAATTTGTAGTCTACGTAATTGGGTTGCAAAGATATAGGAATTAAAAAAATCAAAATTTGTGGTAACGACTCAATTCCTTTTGCGCATTTTTGGGAACTTTCTCAAAGGCTAGTTTTTGACAGCTAACAGTTTTTAAAGGCAATTTAAGGCAATTTAACTAATTTTTGATAAAATTTTTCTAAAATATAATATAAAGCTTTTGTGAGCATGGAAACCCTAATTACAATTTCTCCCTTCCTCATAAAATGGGTAAAAACAGCTACTACATCGATCTTATCTACGGAAATCATGAAGGGGAGTGGGAGGAGTTTTTAAAGTAAAAAATAGAACATTTCTTTTTCAATTGTTGATGATTGTGGTGTTCCTTTCCTTTCCAAAGCTATCTGTGATATATTCATATCCCTGTTCTCCATGAACTCGCAGGCGAGCTTGACGACATCCTGCTCCCTTAGCACCAGCTGGGTCTGGGGACTCCCCATCCTGAAAGAACAACAGGTGCTATTTCACTTTTTAATTTATTCTTATCGAATTCAAATTTTTTTGCGAAATAATTTTAGGGAAACAAGTATTTAAGGGTGCTTCGCCCCCCCCCCTTCCTACTAACATTTTTAGCTTCTAGCTGTTGCTCAAAAAAGAGGTCATTTTAAAACATTTTCGAATTTTGAACCTAACCCTTCCATGGGGGCATCTGAATTGCCATAAAAAATACAGCATTTTCTCTCTTTCTTTGAAAAAACAAAATAAATTTGCGTATTTACATTTGTTTTGGATTTACAAAATCTTACGAAACTCAACAAATTTTGGACACAACTTTTTGTAATTCTGAGTATTCTTAAATCTTTCCTGGGGTCATATAAGGTCCAACGCAAAAAAAAGTTGGGCCCAATCGGTTCATCCTTTTTGACGTTTATTGAATACAAACAGACAGATAGACAGAAAAGTATATATATAGCTTGTTCTGAGGGCTCCTCATCATGAGAGTTCAACAGGTCCTATTTCACCTTTTTTATAGAATTTTATTTTTTGCAAAATGATTTTTTATAAGGTTTGTAATACATTTAGAGAAACATAGACTTCCTTTTAAGAATTTATGTCTAAATGTTAGTAAACAATAATAAAAAACGTATTACACTATTCAGTGTTGTACAAAAAGATATATCTTTTCTTTGTGTATCTACCGGACGGTCTGTCCGGCTATGTAAGGTAGTTAAACTGAGCATGCAGTGTTGTGGACAAACTCTTTGGATTCATTTGAGACATATTAAACTTTTTAAACATCTGTAGCTCCTGAGTTTGAGCGCAAAGTCGACGTTCGAAATTGTACTTTTGGATGGATACGTTTTCAGAATTGTTTTTTATTTATTAAATAACGACGACAAAAAATGTATCAAAATTTTATAGTAAACTAATTAGTTGTTTAGGAACAGGTTGAGAAAATAGAAATTAATTTTATCATCGAAAATAAGTAATCTTATTCAATTATTAGTTTTCATAATTTTGCTTAAATTACAAAGATTTTCTGAAATTTTTATCAAAAAGACAACAAATTCATAGAAAATAAGAAATTCAATATAATGATGAAAAAGGAAATAATTAATTCTAACTTCGATTTATTGACAATTTCTTTTGAGAAATATGTTCCTAAACATCTAATTAGTTTACTATAGAATTTTTACTATATTTTTCGTCATCGTTATTTAATAATTAAAAAAACGATTCTGAAAACGTACCCACCCGAATTCAAGATTTTGAACGTCGACTTTGCTCTCAAACTCCGTTTTTATACATCGTGGAAACGTTTTATATGCCTCATATGAATTTGTCTACAACACTGCATACTCAGTTTAACAACCTTACATAGCCGGTCTGTTCCTTTAAATAAACATCCACGCTTTCCTTTTTAATTCTAAGAAATCTAAATTTAAAATTTCAACATCGGAGCAAAATTTTTTTCCAGAATGGAAAAGCTAGATACAGACGGTCAAATAGCCCTTAACTTTTTATTTTCCAAGCTATACAGACCTAATTTTTTTAAAGGAACTGGAAAAATTACCTGTGTCGCATGGTTACGTTCATACTTGGCATGCAAACTCAAAAAAGACAATTTTATACAATTTTCATATTTCTTAAAGGAAGTATTCGCATAAAATGAAAGCGGGTAAAGGCTGATATCAAATTGAATTCGATAATTATCGCTTCTAATTCTATCTGTTGATTCTATAAGGAGAAAATTGTTCAAAGACAACCAAAAGAAAAATATAAATAGTTAACAATAAGAAACATTAATAAGTTATGAACGTCGGACTGAGGACACTATTTTATTTAAATATAAGATTAAAATACTCTATCTTGCAAAGTGTGAGGAAGGACGAGGAAGGAAGGAAACCAATCAAGGCTATAGTTGATGAGATCAGACAAAAAGAATTGAATTTTTGTCACAAAGTTAGGTTTTCTTATGCCTGTATTTCGTAGAACTTTGATATTTTAAACTAAATTCTGGTAGATCAAGTAGTGTAAGGTTGAAATATCAAAGGTTTGCACTGCACCATCAAGTTGTAAAGATTTAGGCATTAGAAAATATATAACTAGTAGCAAAATCTCAATTCCTTTGTGCAGTGAGACTTCAGGGACTACTGTAAGACTTTGTTTAGTTATCTTTGATCTTAATAAGAGGGATTTCGTATTCTATTTCGTATAACGATGGTCGGGTCTGTCCAAGAGAGTTTAGCACCCTAGCCTTTCCTAGCCCATTCGCATGGCCCAGCTAGTCTATCCTAGCCGCAGCGCTAGGCCCAGAAATTGTCTTAACCTGACCTAATCCTGAAATAAATACAAATAGTTGAAATCGAGGATCTTTCCAAGCCGCAGCGCTCGGTACCCTAGCCTATCCTAGCCACAGCGCTCGGCTCCCTGACAGCTGTCCTAGCCACAGCGCTCGGCCTAGAAATTGTCTTAACCTAACTTAACCCTAAAATAATAAAAAATAAATAATAATAATTTTGCTGAAAAAAGTGGTCATGTACATAATTGATAGGAGGGGGGGGTCCAAAATCGTTCTCTAGGAAATTACGAAGACTCACTTTCACTCCTTTCACACACTTTAACCTCGGATAATTTGTGATATTATTTTCCTTTTCTTCTTGTTTTGTCGCAATACAGGAGAATCACATTTGAGAAATCAAATATTTATAAACGAAGGTTAGGTAGGTTCAAAACTGGTTTTGGTTTCTGAACAAACCAATGGTAGCACGGCTAGGGGGAACCAACCAACCAATCAGAAGCCAGTATTAATTCCACACCTGAGTGTCTATAATTCGGATGAATTCTCCCCCCCCCCTTCTCGTTTCTTTCGGACATTATTTCTCACGGTTGAAAATTAATAGAAAAAGTGACAGAAATGAATGATTTAATTCCATACAATGAGAAATCATGAAAATGGTTGTATAAGTTGTATAAACCACAGTTGTCTTAAAGCCCCAATAATGGCGCGTTAAAGGGCATCATAGAGAATAGAATATATTAGCTAGTGCAATTGGTGCAATCGATCTCACCTCTAATTCGGATGAATTCCCCCCCCCCTTCTCGTTTCTTCAAGGGCGTATACAGGGGGGTGCAAGGGGGCAGTGCCCCCCCCCCCTATGACCTGTGAAGGGGGGGGGGGTAAGAACTCAGAGCTATCACACTTTGATATGTAGTGGTCCCCAAAAATCTTTTGTAACAGTGGTCCCCAAGAAAACGCGTTTTGAAACAGATGGTCCCCAAAAAACTCTTTTGATACAGTGGTCCCCCAAAATAATATTATGATAAAAAAGCTTCCCGTTAGACAATTTTAACAAATGACAAAAAATTATGATTTTTAAATTTAGAAAAATTTACGACATAATTTTTTCTTCTAAAATATCAAAAGTTTACGAAATTGTGCCAATTAATTTCTTCCAAAAATTTATCAAAAATTTAATTCATTAAATTTATGAAAATTTTCAAAAAAAAGTCAGTAAATTTTACGAAAAATTTTAAGAAATTTTTTTTTCCAAAATTTTATGTGAAAGTAATTCAAGAAAATTTTCATCAAATTTTACGATAAATTTTACGAAATTTTTAGCCAAAATTTTACGTAATTAGAAATTCGTCTTTTTCAAAAAATTTACTAAAAAAACGAAAAAATTTTGTATTTTGTGCAGGCGTGGATCCAGGGGGGGTCAAGGGGTCGATGACCCCCCCTTTTGAAAAAAGGGGGGATCCAGAGTATCTTTTGACCCCTCTTTTCTGGAGACTAACCTAAAAGTTTACTGTAACTTGTTTTCCAGCAGATGCTTTAAAAAAAAGCTAGCATGAACGATGACAGATTTAGTGATCTGGCCCTAATGAACATCTTAGAAACCGTAAAATCCACAAAAGTGTTAAAAGCTTTATAGACAAAAATCCTAAAAAATACACGTAAAATTGAATTAAATATATTCAGTAGGTTCATTTATCTTCATTTTTTAACAAAAAAAAAATAATTATAAAAATTATAAAATTATAAAAACGGCTTTCTTTATTCTGGAAGATTAGACTTTTATCTTTATACAACTTTGCAAACTTTAATTTTAATCCTCAGGTTTAGTTACTATAAGTAGTTTACATATAAATGATTTATTTTTAAAAATTTTAATAGGGATGGGCAACATCCAGATTCATTTTATAGGAATTTTTTATGTTTTTAGACTTTTAAAAAGGTATTACGACAATATGAGAAGGTTCCAACATTTTAAAACTTTATTCTGAATCGAAGTTTACTTACCATGCAAATTTGTTACCCTCGAAGAAAATATAAGGCAAAAATTATAGTTTTTGGGTTTTTTAAACAATCGTTTTCAGTTCGTTTTTGCCTTATGTTTTCACCTAGGATAACAAATTTGCATGTTTGATAATAGTAAACTTCTACAGAAGACAATTTCAAATCGTTGAACCCGTAAATCTTTAAAAGTCCAAAAGTATTAAAAGTTTTTGTAAAACAAATCTAGCAATTGCCCATCGCTATATTAATAATAATAATGAATAACCACAAAGAATAGGAGTTAAGAACAGATTTAAACTCTACAATCTTGAAATCACATACTTTGAGGTAACTTGTAACTTTATGAGTCACATGAAAAAACACCCTGAACCTTTTGCATGGTTAATATCTCAATCTTAAACAATATGTGAAATTGTAATTAGAAATTATGTAATGCCAATGGAAATGGAAATATATTTTTTATAGAGTAATATCTGAGTGCAGAAAAATTGTATTTTTACAAGAGTACTTTTCTGTTTTGAGCACTTAAAATACTCACTTTTAATGCATATTTCTTTTTTACAAATTTGCGGGGGGCTACGTCCCCCTGCACCCCCCCTCGCTCACTAAGTTTCGCTCGGTACTATACCCAATATTATTCAGACTTTGACCCCCCCTTTTAAAAAGCTGGAATATGTAAATTTTACGAAAAATAGGGTGA